ACCATTAAACCTTCAAGCTTGCGAAATGAGTGAAAAACGGACCATGCAATGAATAATTCTGCATTGGTCAGTAAGGGGATGGGGATCTTCACTTGTTTGTATGGGGGAGCTGACATTATTCCCTTTGCACAGAGGGATGGGAGAATCTCTTTATGAATGTTCTGAGCTCCTGTTTCCATTATCCTATCTCAGTGATCAGAATGATGCTACCCAGACTCATTGACACAGCTTGGATGAAGCGCAACCTCCCACAGTTTTCAGTTTTACTCCCGCTACTTCCTTACAGAATTATTAAACGCTATCACGTAAAGCGCACTCAAATTAACGATTATTATTATTATTTGTAGAATGTAACTGATCCACAATTTTGCTCTCCTCATTGTGATCCACCTCGACTTTTAGAATGCAAAGTTCCGGCTTTCACTGTCCTTGATCTCGACAGTCCGCCATCATTGGCTGCTTCCTCCTCTCACGTCCACCCTCTCTGCACACCGACAGCCACTCATTGGCCGGCGTGTGTTCTCAACGTGGAGATTATCCTTTGGAAAGGCTGTCTAGACTCGTCTCGGTTCTGATTTTCTCTATGTCTCTCTCTCTCTCTCTCTCTCTCTCTCTCTCTCTCTCTCTCTCTCTCTCTCTCTCTCTCCACAACCTGCTGAAATCTCATTCTGTCTCTCCCGTTCTCTCCAGCCTCCATTCACTCTTCCTGTCATCATCTACTCTCTCACCCCATCTCTTTTCCAGTCTTTCACACGCTCTCAGTCTCCTTTTGGGCTTTATCTTACCATCACCACCACCTCCACCCACTGTGGCTCTTCCCCCCTCCCACCAAACGTTGCTGTACTGTCTTCACCCAACGACAGTTTCTCACAGATGTGTGTACGCATGAAGGTGAGTGGAATTGACTTTCAGGATAGCGCTCGCTCTCTTTCTCTTTCTTTTTACCACATCACTGTCATAAGTCAGTCAGCCATCTGTTGCCGTGTCCTTGGACGTCTGGTGTATCACAACGACAGCGGGAGTCATTATCCAGTGCCGCATGCGACTTGCGCTTCTGGTCCTTTCAGCGTCCATCCACGGTTTAGTGAGAGGAGGCGGGGCGGACTGTGCCGCCGCGTGTCATTGCGGGCCCGAGCTCGTGACACGGTGTTTCCCGCCAGCTGTAGTGTCGGCCGGCGCTGCAGTGGCATCTCAGCCAGATTCATGAGCATTGTGCTGCAAACAGTGAGAGGAGGGATCACATTGTTGGCACGGCGCGCGCTTCCAGAGGCAGACGTTGTAGCTTAGCATGCTAGTCTGGGGTCAGGAGAATATTTTCTGGAATGCTATACACACTGTGCAAATGAAGAAGCTAGTTTCAAGCCCTTTTGAAGTTTTATACAGTGCAATGGAGTGAACAAGGAACGCTTGGCAGCTCCTGACCAAGCTGTCAGCTGCAGCGGTGATGAAACAGAGTTGCAACTTGATTTTTCCAAATTCTGAGCCTTTCCTGTCACTGCTTGTCTTTAATGTGGATGAACGTCAAGCTCAAATCATGTTCTGACCTTTGGTGGCCATTGGTTGTGGTTTTCTAAAGTTAGACAACGTTAAGCTGTGAGGCGGAAAAAAAAAACCTACGCCCATAAAAGCTCAAATATTGGAGCGATTGTTTTGATCTTTTCTGAGATTGATGTGGGCATGGATGAAGATGTACACATGGATTTTGGTGGTGATGAGTTGTTTTCTAACAGTAGGCAACATGATACTTTTTCTCCATAGTGAACGTCTGTGGGGAGGAAAAAGCTTAATGCCCATAAAATCCAACATATTTTGGCAATTGTTTTGATAATTTCAGAGGTCAAAGTGGGGGTAGGTGGAGATATGCATGTGAATTTTAGCGATTGGTCATGAAGCTTTTTTTTTCCCCATGAAGCGTTTTAGTCCCTTTATGTGTCTGCGTCTCCCTTTGACCGCCAGCGAGAAATTGTCTCTGCTAAAAATAATTCTCAAGAGCTTGTTGTCACTTTCAAGTGGTTTTTATCCGGGTGTTCAGGACAGGATGATTCGTCAACAAATTGCATCACGACCTGCAGTATGTAAACGTTGGCTCACAAACAGTGAATTTGAACTCTGCACATGACAAAAATATGCACAGAGAATATCGTAGCAACATCAGGCACCGCCAATGATTACAAGATAATCAGCTTTGCCTTTTGAACAGCTGCCGCACCCAAATAGTGAAGTTTGTGTTGGGTAAACATGAATTTTGTCAGCGTCAGCACCTCGGACAGTGGTTATGCACAAAAGATGTTCAGTGTTGATGGACACAATTGAAGATCTTTCTTGTTGTGGTTGGCAAGTGCAGTGCAGTACAATCTGTGCCCTCTTTTCGTTTGCCAGTGAGTGCACATGATCATAATCTCTCTGAAAATGTTGCTTCGTGTTTTGGTTTTTCTCCCTCAGTGTCTGCTGAACTTTTATGTTGCATTCCTAAACAAGTTTCTGCTATTTTGCTGAGAATGAGGATAATTTTCCAAGCTTTTTGTGACTAGACACTATATAAGGTCCCCGCTATATAAAAGAATGGTTCGTATTTTCATATTTTTTTTTTAAATCAATGGTTTTCTAACAGCCATGAGTTGAATGACTCATCAACTAGTTATGCAACATGGCCCTTGAGTTTGCTGAGGTTTCTCTGAATAAGATGAAGGTCACACAGAAAAAAGTGTGCTTTTTAAAATTCTGAATTTTTTTTCAGTAGTCTGATTCAAAAAGTTCATTTCGTATATTCAGTCCACACAGAGTGAAATATTTCCTGATATTTAAAAAAAAAAGTACTTTGGTTTATTTGCATTTACAGCTACTGAAACCCCAAAAGAAACTGTATAGCTTGATTTTTTTGTTTTTTGTATTTTTAATTAAACATACCTCATCAACCCCTTGGTTCCGTCCGCTACTTGGAGAAGCCATTCTTCCATTGGCTGACCGGTTTCAGTTAAAAATCTCCACCACTAAGCTCGTATGGATCAAAATTCCGCGGTGTTCCTCAAGACGGCATGTCAAAGACTGACCTCAAAATTTGACTGAAATAGTACAAATACAATATATTCGGGAGAGGAGCAGTAGAATACTATAGGTCGTGTACGTCAGTCATCAGTTGTCGTCAAATGTCTTTCCATTTATTTGTTTCGGAGGATTTTAGTGGCCTTTGAAGATGGCGACCACCAGTTCCATTCTCTGATGTATGTGTCCTAATATTTACCGTTTGACGGTTTTGTATAGTTGTGTCTCAAAACTGTCACAATGCATTGGCAAGTACAGACCTTCATAAATGTGGTGGAGACAGTTCGATTCAGTACAAATCACATCAACTGCAGAAGCCTTCACGCCGCCCAAATGCAATTTCCATCGGACTCACAGTGTCAGTATCACCCGCCCATAAATGTAGTTGTAATGATAAGCTGCAGAGTGTAGCTGCGGGAGAGCTGCTAGGTATGAAAAACAAGGTCAGATAGATGCAAAGAAATGTGCCTCAGGAGCTTTGGGCACATTGAGGCAGGAAATGCAAAAACGCAGTAATGTTCGAGTGGTCAGGTGTAGTCAGGATGCATGATCCAATAAAGAAAGCAATGTTGTAGAAGTCTTCCATTTCCTTGCTCGGTGGGAGCGACAGCATTTTTTTCCCCTTCGCCGTAATTTAACAGGAAGTGTTGTAACCTTTTCAAGGTTGTAAATTATTAACCTGGTGGTTTAGAGGCAATCATATTGGCGAACAGGATTGCCATTTACAACGTGCTTTTGAGGATCCCTTTCTATGGGAAAGGAAATCACAGCTGTCGTTTGTTAGTTTAATATACAGCCTTTTTAGACATCTGACAGAAAACCCTCAGTGCTGAATTAAAAGCTTCGGATTTTAAATTACCAAGGAATTAAATAGATGGCACATACTGATCCAATGTGGTTTCACCCGGACCTAATCAAAGCCACTTAAGCTTTCATGTGTGTCTGCAGTGGTCCAATGGAGGACAGAGAATAGTGTGTGACCTCAGTATTTCCAGATGGAGGCTCTCCTGTGAGGAAGAGGGTAACTGCTTGCCCCCCACTCGCAATGAGCACAGCTCATGCTGAGCTAATCGACTTGTTTACATGGAATGCGCCCTGTGAACAATTGACACGACCGTAGAAGGCAATGGTGCATTCGCCTCCTCAATAAAGCAGCGTTGTGTTTATGTTTCTAATTTTACATCAGCTTCAGAATCATTGTCAGCATCTAACACCATTAGCATACTAATTTAGGACGGACATTGCAATTGACTAAGTGATTAATGGCTACCGGTAATTTAAAATTTCATTGTTTGACACTGTTTGGTGACGCAAAATGGGGCACCGTACACCACAGGCGTGCTTGGTTTTTGAAAGAGTTCCGTTCCTACCGTGGCCACGTATCTGCATTTGTACGTTAATCTGAGCGTGGAAATTCATCACTAACCTATTCTACGGCAAAATCAAAGTCAAACTTACCAGTCGATCAAGAAAATTCAATCTAAAATTGCCCTCTAATGCGGCCCGGTGGTCCAGTGATTAACGCGTCGACCTCACAGTGCAGAGGTCATGGGTTCGATCCCTGCTCCGGCCTTCCGGTGTGGAGTTTGCATGTTCTCCCCGGGCCTGTGTGGGTTTTCTCCGGGTGCTCCGGTTTCCTCTCGCATTCCCAAAAACATGCATGGCAGGCTGATTGAACACTCTAAATTGTCTGTGAGTGTGAGCACGGATGGTTGTTCGTCTGTGTGCCCTGCGATTGGCTGGCAACCGGTTCAGGGTGTCCCCTGCCTACTGCCCGAAGCGGAACAGAAAATGGATGGATGGATTGCTCTCTAATGCATAGCCTTCTCAACCACTGTACTGCGGCACATTCAAAGTGCAGTGCTGTGGGAAATGAGCCCATTTTAAATAATTATTCTGTCTGATTATTAGTCTGAAATTGTTAAAAAGGAGTCACGGTTCTCTCTTTTCTCTTGCAGGTGAGGGAACGTGCGGACAGGCTGTCTCACACTAAACGATGGAATGCTCTCTGCACCCAACATCACTAGTCTCCAATCTTTGGACTCACCTCCGCAAGCTTAGTTAACAGCTGTGCTCCACCCCTCTTTCCGACCAGGGGACGAAGAAAAGGAGCGGGCCCCTCAAGTCCTCCGCCATCCCCGGGCCACTTTCACTTTTTAGCGTATTTAAGATTGTATTCTCTTCTTGTGTGCGGGGTGAAAACATATCAAAATGGATCTGGAATCGTATCTGTGGATGGTGATTTTTGGCTTCATCATCGCCTTCATTCTGGCCTTTTCGGTGGGCGCCAATGACGTGGCCAACTCATTTGGCACGGCGGTGGGGTCCGGCGTGGTCACGCTGAAGCAGGCCTGCATCCTCGCCTCCATTTTTGAAACACTGGGATCCATGCTGCTAGGGGCCAAAGTGGGTGAGACCATCCGCAAAGGCATCATCGACGTCAACTTGTACAACGACACGGTGCCTGTGCTCATGGCAGGCGAGGTCAGCGCCATGATTGGTAAGTTACCTCATTTAATTTTAATTACCGTATTTTCCACACTAAAAGGCGCACTGGGTTATGAGGCGCACCTTCAATGAATGGCCTATTTTGTAATTTTTTTCATACATTGGGCGCATCGCATTATAAGACGCAATCTACAGTGCATCCACTAGGTGGAGCCACGCTCAAGGAAACGCAAACAGAACGATCAGATGTCAGTAAAACTAATTTAATAAAGCAGCGACACAGTTCTCTTAACCAACAGCAAGTTATAACATTGACTTGTTAACGTTGAACTCTCTTGCTGCTGCTCTATTTCCGTGTTCAACTGCGTAACCTATCACCTTAAGTTTGAACTCTGCGTTGTCAGTACTGTGAATTCTTTCAAGTCATCAGTCCCGCAACCAAGCAGATCACTTAAACTAAAGCAGTCAAATAGCAAATGTGTAAGAGAATGTTTCCATTTCCTTCGCGTTTGCTCATGTGACTGTGAGATGTAATGGCGCACATCCACCCACGCCGTTTTGTGGAATACTTCACCTCCATCAATTAACGTCTGTGTGTTGTTTACAGGCTCGGCGGTATGGCAGCTCATCGCCTCCTTCCTCAAACTGCCCATTTCCGGAACCCACTGCATTGTGGGCGCCACTATTGGGTTCTCCATGGTCGCCATAGGCACCAAGGGCGTCCAGTGGATGCAGCTGGTCAAGATTGGTAATATAAATCCTTTGAAAAATGTTAGCTTAGGCGTTGTGAAACTCTCCGCGGGAAAGTCTTTTATATCTATTGACAATCGGCCAAGCGAGTTGCTGGAGTTACATCCCCCACGTGGTTTAGCGCGTCGGTTTTCAGAGGCGTGGGGAACATGCATAATGAGTTGACCCCGAGTTCATGTGGGCTGAACAGAAAGATGAATACAAGTGGCTGTGACATGAAAACCACTTTCCAATTGGTACTTTTGGGCCTGTGTTACTCTTCTGATCACTTCTCTCTGCGTGCAGTGTCGTCGTGGTTCATCTCCCCCTTGCTGTCTGGGCTCATGTCCGGAGTCCTCTTCCTTCTTATCAGGAATACCATTCTCAACAAGGTGGGTTGTTGCAATCAGTATTCGCCTCTGAGTCATCTAAAGAATCAGTCAGGGGGTCGGCCTCGATCCATTTGTTCTCCCCCGAATCTTGGTAAGGTCCCTTGTGCGCTTCCAACTTTGTGGGAACAGTTTGGGGGAAGTTCCAGCATGATGGCGCCACTGTGGAAGAACATGAATGGTCTGAGCTCAACCCTATCAAGCACTTTTGGCTTGTACTGGAACAGGAACTGTAAATCCCTCAATTATCAGTTGTTTAAGGAACAGTTGCATTTGAATGGCCTTTTTCCATTGCGTTGTTCAGCTTTTATGGTTCATACACACTTACACAAACAGTGTCACAAATCATTGGTCGCTCCCACCTGTGAGCATTGTGGTTTGCTTGTCCATTAAAACAACACTTTCAGTTGACTAAATTGGATTTATTAACGAGCCAGGACACGAAACGTGATGAATTGTGTTTTAACGAAACCAATGTCAGCATATTCATTTTTAAAATGGGTCTGTCAATAACAATTTGAGAAATTGGTTTTGACCGTTACTTGGGATCGCCTTTGGTGACAAGCTATTATTGCTATGAAAGTGTGGTTAATCAAATCAGAATGCGTGTGGTTTTAAAACATTTTTTTTAACTGTCAGCTTGATTTTGTGCCTGGATGAAAAAATATGTACTCACCGGCACACACACGTGCACAAGTGCGCACAAACTTACTTCAGCACAGATAAAAATCCATTTGCTTTGGCAACACCAGCGCATCTCGTATTATATAACAGGCAATCTCTGGCAAGCGAGGAAGGAAAACGTGTGGCAGCTCATTGTAAGGTCACGAAAGCGTGATCGCAGGATGAATGACTCGCGGGACGATCGGTTCAATCAGACTGACTGCAGGATGAGCTCGTCTGTGTTTCGGCTGGCTGTGCATATGGTAGAAGGGGAATATTTGAGTGTTGATATTTAATGCTTACATTTGACTTGTTGAGAGTCATTTTTTCTCTTTTTAGACTTACCATTTCTATGATGTCACACTTGTCAAATGTGATCACGTTCCTCACTCAACAGTGGTGATCTGATTTGAGTTTTGACATTTGGTGGAAACGTGGCTCGACAGGACAGCACGCTCATCCGCGAATGCAGTTTTGCATTGCATTATCTACAGGCGCAGGGCAGAAATTGAATGTACTTGCCACGACAGACTTTCACGTGGCGAGACACGCAGGCTGGAGGCAGAACCGCGGCTCTGTGTTTCAACAATAGCAGGCGGCTAAAAGAGTCCAACTGGCAGCGATATCAGACAACTATTTGCTAAACAACTCTGACATCGGAGAAGCTTCTCATCAGCTGATCTGAGTCAGCAGAGGCGGGGTGGTGGGGGATTCCGCTGGCGTTGCCGTGGTGATGCCAACGGCTTAGCTGACCAGGATTGGGGCTTGTTCCTCTGCTCTGTTTTGATGTCATGAGGGTTGGGAGAGGAGAATCCCATTTATATAATTGATTTGATTATAGTCATCTGACATAGACAACGATGGCACCTGGTAGAGGACGTACATTTACTGAAATGCTGTCGTGACATTTAACAATACAGGGAACCGTCGCTACTCGCGAGCCCAACCACGAAAAGCAAAAAAAATCGGTGAAACCCATATAAAGGTTTGTAGTAGACTATAAGTCCCACACAATGGCAGCAAAGGACTTTTTTTACGTTCGGGGTGCAGCTCTCAAATATTTTGGTATTTGGATATCCTTCTGAAAATTCTAATCATTGAGTAATTTGGATGAAATAAAAAAGTATATCTTTTTGCTTGGTTAAAGAACCATTATGAATACACGATCAAAAATAACACACTGAACTTAGTAATAATGAATGACCAATGGGTTTTGCGTTTTAGATTATCAACTTTTTTTTCCCCTAAATTGAAACTGCCCATAGCAGCAAACTGTATTTTCTTCTCTAGCAACGTAGGTGAGATTTTTGATTATGAGACAAACTGACAACAGAAACACAGTCGCAATTTTGCCAGCTAAAGCAGCACATTGGACTCAGCCTGGTTTTTTTAACGACTGATCTGTAGTAACTGCAACTGTCGTGTCTGACGGCTCTTGGCAGCTTATATGCTAGCAGCTAGCTGCTAGCCGCTAACACTGGCAACAGCCGCTGTATGATACATTGTCAACACGTTTCATTTGTGGTTTTTTAGTGTACTTAATTTGCAGTTGAACATGATTTCAGTATGAGGTTGTGTTACTTACTGTTGGCGGCAAAAATTCTGTGCCTTCATTCTTAACACCACAATTTTTACTTACTGCTGCTACCCTTTTTCATGTTGCCCTTAGTCTCCGACAAATAAATTACGTCTCCTTAACATGACCAAGAGGTTCATGCTGAGTAGTATATACAGGAGACCCTCATCCTCCTCGCTTGTTGTTTGTTAGCAGTTTCCCACGGTACAATGTCGAAGTAGAAAAACCCACGAAGTAGAAAAAAACCACCATGCGTGTCGAGCCCGTACTTCGCTGTGGAAAAGTGGCATAGGACTCCCGCCTAAGCCATGTTTCCTCAAACTCATTCCACTTTGTCTGGAATCTGTAATGACAATCAACATGATCACATGACCCGAATCATATCTTCTTATCCTGAAACGGTGCCTGTTTTTAACTCTTTTAGGAAGATTCTGTCCCCAATGGCCTGCGAGCGCTGCCCCTCTTTTACGCCACCACCATTGGCATCAACACCTTCTCCATCATGTACACAGGAGCGCCATGTAAGATCCACGTGTAGTCTGACACCAATGTACGATCAAATTATCACGTCAGGCATAAGAGGGGACGCTGCCACTGTAATCGGCGTGCTCAAAATTCCGACTGCGGGTGTGACAAAAATATTGATCGATGAACATGGTCGTCTGTCGACTCCATGTGCTTTTCTGCGCTTATTGGTTGCAGTGCTGGGGATAGAGATGCTGCCAGTGTGGGCCATCTTTCTCATCACCTTGGCAGGATCGCTGGTGTGTGCAGCAATAGTGTGGATCTTCGTCTGTCCCTGGATGAAGAGGAAAATTGCAAGTAGGTTTCCAGAACTCGCTGTTGACTCGGTGGCTTCTTGCCAAAGCCTCCCAAATGTGTTTGCTTTGCTTTTATGTTTTGATTTCTACATGTAGCGCTCTCACATTGTCGGGTTACTGTCGCTCCATAAATTAGAATACTTTTGGAAACAAAATGAATTTCAGTAGTTCAATTCAAAATGTAAAACTTTTAGATTCAGTACATGCAGAATGAAATAATTTCACAACCAATTAAAATGATTGTTCAATTAACTCATTCAGTACCAGCCAATTCCAGACCAAGTCTGAAAAGACGTTTAAAAACGTCTTTGGGAGTGAACGAGTTAAGCTTTACAATATTGGCTTGACTTTTTGTGATTGAGCTACTGAAATAAACAAGCATATCTGGAATATTCAAATTTTCTGAGATGCGGCTTTAATTGAAAGAAAGAGCAGAACTTGCACATTATTTTCCCTGTTCCCGAATTCACGACTCGCCTTTAACCCTGCACATGAGGCCAAGTATCCAAACACACATTGTGACCTGGATGCCTGTAAGGATTATCGGTGACGTTAAACGGGTCATTACTACATCCGCCTTAAATGAATTGGTGAATGACTGGAGGTTGTGTTTGGACTGAGTGTTGTTTATGAACTCGGCAGGGTGGTTGGGGGTGCGTTCGCTGGAATTTGTTCGCCTTGAACCAGCTGATGGTTGAACTTGTGTACTGTACTGTTTTTTATTTTCAGCGGGAATAGCGCTCCATAATTTTCCAGTTCTTTCTCTGGTTAATTATAGTTTTATTCCAGCCGTGATACAGTTTCAGTCCAATTTGGCAGGCCAAGTGATTGAATTTGGATTCATTTCTTTCAAAATCACTATTGAGGTTGAACTAGAGCACGTTCAGTGTGCTCATCTTTCTCTGAAGTGTCCATTTTTCTTCAGGTCGTCTGAAGAAGGAACAGGCTTTGTCCAGGATCTCCGACGAAAGCTTGGATAAGATTCCTGAGGAGGAGGAGGAGAGCCCCGTATTTAAGGAGCTGCCTGGGGCCAAGGGCACAGATGAGGCTGTGCTGCCGCTCACTGGGGGCAGCAGCGAGAGGAACGCGCGCACCTCCAACAGCGAACTCACCAACCTGACCAACGGAGGCACCGTCATGCCAAACGGACGAGTTTACGGTACAAACCATTCATTTCAAAACTTGTAACCGGTGTCTCCAATCTTATGTACCCTCCAAAACCTTTTGTCATACCATGAGTACCCCCGCTCATTCTTGCTGATAATTCTCCAAAAGTAGAATGGAACACAACTGACTACTAAATGAAAGTCATTTTACTTTGTCTCCTTATTTTGAATGAAATTCTTCTACTTCCTGTTATATCATGCAGGCCGGACCCACTCGATGACCAACGGCTGCCTCAAGTCGCCCGTCTCTAACGGCAGCTTTAGCTTCGACGGCCACATGCGAAGTGACGGCCAAGTTTATCACACGGTGCACAAGGACTCAGGTCTGTATAAGGACCTGCTGCACAAAATCCACCTGGGCCGGATGGACGACAACGAGCGTCCCGGCGCCACCGCCAACCCTCCCGACAACAACTACCGCCTGCTGCGACGCAACAACAGCTACACCTGCTACACGGCGGCCATCTGCGGGATGCCCGTGCAGCCGATCATGCGCACGGAGTCTCGCGACGACAGCGAGAAGCTGGTCGGGGAGGGCGGCGGCGGCGGCGGACGCAGCAACAGCGTGTCCTACTCCAAGAAGCGTATACGCTACGACAGCTACTCTTCGTACTGCAACGCCGTGGCCGAGGCGGAGATTGAGGCAGAAGAGGGCGGCGTTGAGATGAAGCTGGCTACCGAGCTGGAGGGGGTGGAGGAAGAAGGGGGATCCGCACCTTTGCCTCTGGACGACCTGAATGACGAGGATCACGAGGAGAAGGACAAGTCGGAGGTGTTTCTGCTTTTCCACTTCCTGCAGATTCTCACCGCCTGTTTCGGCTCCTTCGCCCACGGAGGCAACGACGTCAGGTGCCAATATTGTGTCTGTGCGTGTGTGTAAATGGAGAGAGAGAGAGAGAGAGAGAGAGAGAGAGAGGTGGAAAAGGTAAAAATGTTCCGAACCCCCTATCTACTTTCTGTTACCTGTCTGCGCAGAGGGATGCTTTTAGCCAGCTTGTGCACAGCCAGCTGACTGTTGAAGTCACTCTTCTTGGAGGAGTTGCGAATCTTGACAATAATTACGATGGCAACCATGACTGCGATGAAGAAGAAGCCCACACAGTAGATGACCCCCTCCAGATAAGTGTGGTTGGCAGGAGGATAGTGTGGGACGGCTACACACGGAGGGGAACGCAGGGGTAAAAGGAGCAGAGGAGTAGCGTCAGCTGGTACGTATGAAGTGTACATACGCTCATGAGCACTTGCACCCATCAGTACAAAACCACCACAGCATCCACATACACCAACATACTCTCAAGCTTTTGTGCCTAAAACCAGACCCTTTGACACCACGCCATTAACACACGAATAACGTGACATTATCATCAGTGGTCGCAGCAGGCTCAAGTACAGACACGTGAAGTAAACCACAAATAGCCAATTTTCAGTACGAAGCAAATTGGATGGTAGAGGGACATTTTAATTTCAGCACGTTTATCATTCAAAAAGCTTTGAAAGAGGGAGAGGCCGGAACCATGCCAAGGGTGTGGTTGTCACACACAACGCTCATGCTTCGCACGCACACTTCACATGTGCACAGAGACACTTACAGGTGCGCACACACACGAACACGCTCACATATAGTTTTCATTACTTGTGTGTAATTTTCACCAAAAGTGTTGTGTTTTGGTGCCAGGGATACACAAACGTTACTCTTTGAGAAAGAGCCAATATAAGCATGAATTAAACTAAGTTTAATGAAATTAATATGATCTTGTTTTTATCCTCCCATTTGATAAAAAGGACCTTAAGTATTGTAAACACCAG